AAATTTATAGATCTTTACTAAGTGAGTTACTCATACTTCCTGTAGAACCACTATATATATATATAACTAAAGCTAGAAAATATTCCCCTTACCTGGTAATAGTTCCTCAAAAACTATTTCTCGGAGAGATTTACAGAGGGATTCCACGGTATCAACGGAGATATCTTCCGAAAGATGAGGTTTCCTAAACATTTCAAGATAAATGTTCTATTATAAGAAGAGAACCGAAGAAAAAGAAGTAAAATAGAGATCTGAGCTCTGAGAACTTACTTAGATCTGAATGGAGTTGATGTTTAAGCTCGAATTTAGAAGAGATTCAAAGTCTGAGAGAGTTTTCTTTAGAGAGAGGAAGGAGAGAAAACAGAGAAAATAAAGAGAGAAGGTTGTTTGGTGAGAAATGAATGTTTTTGAGGCTGAGGTTCCTTAAATATCCTTCTAAACTCGTGCGATCTTGCTTGAGTGATAAGATTCTCACTTAAGCGAGCTTCCATCCTCGCCTGAGCGAGACAACTAGACAGCGAGACTACTCATTTTTCTGATATTCTTGCTTGAGCGAGATACAATCTCACCTAGGCAATATCCATCTTGCCTAAGTGAGATTGAGTCAAGAGAGCACTTATCTTTCCTGCGACTCCTCGCTTCAGCGAGCTTTATCTCACTCGGGCGAGTTGCTTCCAGCCTAAGCAAGATCCCTTTCTCGCCTAGGCGAGAGGACAGTTGGAACAATGTTATCTCATTCTCGCTTGAGCGAGGGGTTCCAGAACATTCTCTACTAGGAAATCTTACGTTAGTTGAGCGAGATCTATCTCGCTTAGGCGAGATATCCTTTATCTAAATTCCTATTTTTCCTATCTAACAGTAATAAAATAATCAGAATGCATTGAAGTGGAATGGATTATAAAAATTTGAATTGTTCTAATTTGTAAAAAGCTTTTCATTATGGATTTCAATTGATGAATGATTTCATGCCCTTGATATATTTTAATTTGCTTAAGGACAAGAAAAAATTCAAGTTTGGGTAGTGATAAATCCATATTTTACTAGTATTTTATCTTAGTTTTTAATACATTTTATATAGAAAACATGATGGAAGAAGCTAAAAAACTAAAAAATAATAGAATGTTCAATTCTTTTCTAAATAGTTAGTTGTTTAGATTTTGTGAATTTTCTGTGTAAAAATTACTGAATTAGAACATATTTTGTAGGAAATTTTGAGCTGAGTTCATAAGGCTAGAAGATCAAGAGAAAGGTAGAAGAAAAGTAGCAATTTTGGAGACAAAGAATAAGGATTGACAAAGAACAAGGATTGATCATTCTAGAGCCTAATTTCAAGGATTGACTTGTGCATTACTACTTTTTTTTTACAATAGTAACCACGCCCATGAAGAGAGATCCTATGTTATTACTATTTCTAATATTAGTGATTGTTCCAAAGCTAGGTGAGAAGAACAACTTGTGCATGATCACTATTTTGTATAAAAGTAAACACGTGCAAGTCTGATTTGAAGCAATAAGCTACGCGTGATCACTATTTCTGAGAAAAGTGATCATGCGCATGATCCAAAGGCAAAATTACTTGTGCATTACCACTATTTCAGAAAATAATGATTTTTTCAGAGAGCTTTTCCACAAAACTAGGTGCGCATTACCACTATTTCAGAAAATAATGAGTGTTTCAAGAGCGCTTTAACAGAACAGGATGCGCATGACTCCTATTTTTCACACAAGTGAACACGCACATGCCACTATGAGCAATTAACCTTTGCGTTGCTACTTTAATAAAGAAAAGTGATTGTTCCAGTCATGGAGGTTACTAGAAAGACCTTTGCGTGGTTACTTAAGTGAAAAATAGTGATCACGCCAGAAAGGCAGGAAATTCTATAAATATAAGTTAGCTCAGATTTTTTGTATTTTTAGATCATCTTTCGTTTTCATTTTATTTTCTTGTCTTGAGAGAGTCTGAGAGAGAGATTGAGACGAACACCAAGCTTCACATATTGAGGAATTAGATTGAAGATTGGATTGAAGATGCTTCTTTGCTCATCTTCTTCTTCTCTTTCTTTCTCTTTTCATTTTGTAATGGTTGTCTAAACTCTTTGTAGTTACGGATTTATGAATTTGAAATAGAAGTGTTGAATTGATTTTGAATTTGAACTTTGAGTATTTGATTGGATTAAGTAGTTGATTATGTTAATCAAGTAGTTGTTGGATGGAAATTCAATTTACTAAACATAAGAGGTTGAAATTGTTTCTCAGATCTGAATTAACTACCAAGATTATTGATTTCTTAGGGATAAGTCATCTTAATCTTGCAATCTTGTGGTTTCTAATGCTTAATGCAACATTTAATTGAATCAGATCTAAGGAATTAGGATGATTGAATTGAATGTTAGAGTCATTGAGTTAAGGAATTAACCTCTGAGTAATAAATTGTGAAATTGATTATCAGCCAATTCAAACGCTTGAAAGTTCAGAACTTGATTGAATTAACACTGAAGTTTTGGTGAACTAAACCCCTAACTATGTTTTATTCATCTGTTTCAAATACAAAAATTCATAACTTTTGCCCTGTTACGTTTTCTGGACTCTGTACTTGTTAATTTGCTTTCAAATATTACAAACTCCAATTAAATTGTGTTGGGCTTAACTAATTGTTGAATTGTGAAGTGATACTTGAGAAAACTATTCCTTGAGAACGATATTTAGGACTCAAACTTGATTCCAAGATTTTATAACTTGTTACAACTATACTAATACACTTGCTAGTCAATCTTACTTTTAGTGCAACTATTGAGAAAGTAACAAAATCTAAATTTAGTACTTGTACACCTCATATTATTTCAGTCCAAGTATAATTATCGATTTATAGATATACTTTGATAATTTCACTGATTAAATTCATTGTAAATCTGTTTAAGTGAAGAAAAGTTCAAATTTTCACATATTTATATTGTAGGAATTGAATAAAATAAATTTATTTTTTTATTTTACCACAAATTATTATTTATTTTTAGAATTTAAAAAGTAGGGTGTTACAATCTTCTTCTTCATCCCTCTTTTGTTATTGCTTTGTTCACCTCTCTCCATTGTTGAGATTGTGGAGTTCTCACACTCAAAATTGAAACTACGGTTATGCTCTCTATCTTGAGATATGCAATATGACCTCTTCAATATTTTTAGTGGTTTATAAGGTAATAATTAATCATCGATCATTCAATTTTTATTCAATTAATTCATACCCATGTTGACTGAAAATATTGAAGAGGACATATCGCATATCTCAAGATAGTGAACGTAACTACAATTTCAATTTTGAGTGTGAGAACTCCACAATCTCAACAATGGAGTGATGTGAGCAAAGTAATAACAGAAGAGGGACAAAGAAGAAGATGAGTAGTGAAGAAATTGCAAAAAAGACAAGAACAACAATTCAAAAATCAAAGAATTCTACCTTCGTCCCCGATTGCGCCAAACAATTATTTGTTCCTCCAAATACATGACTGCAATTGGTTATGGCAAACTTCTTCTAGAGAGGGTTGTTGAAGAACACTTTTTTAGGTGGGTTGTTGAAAAACATGTTGTCAAGAGTGAAAGAGTTTATTGAATAACTAATCATAGATTATATAATTCCTCTTAAATTAATTCATACCTATATTGACCAAAAATATTGCCTGTTATCGAAAGTTTGGTCAACTTTTTTTTTAATAATAAAAAATAAGTGCCATTTATATAAAAGTTGGCATTTAAAGTGACAATAGCAAAAAGTGCCTAAGACAGGAAAAATGTTTGGTAAATGCTCTATTTTAGTAATTTATTTTTAATTTTACCTTATTTTAGAAAAAAAAAACTCAAATATGATTGTGGTCTAAACCAAAAAAATATAAAAATATAATAATCATTATTTTTATTAAAAAAATATTATGTCTGAATACTTAACATAAGTTTTTAGGGTTAAAGTTAAAAAATTATTATTTTACCCTATTAAAATAATCTCCGTTCAAAAATACTATATTAATATAGTTTTCTTTTAAATTTATCAAAATATAAGTCAGATTCAAACATTATACTCCATTTAATTGTTTTTATAAAAATGATTTAAAAATTGTAAAAAAAATTATTTTTAAAATAAATTGCTACAAATTATTTACGTAAAAAAAATAAAATAATAGGAGAGTTTTACTATGAGTATGACTTACCCCATAGTGGTACTTTAACCAAATTTTTTTTTTTTACTAATTTATTTATTTTTTGTTGATTTACACTACTATCCTCTACCGAAAATAATCTTGCTTAAACTGGATAGATCAATGATTTGATACTTTGAAAAAGCATTATCCTATATTTGTAAATTAAAAGCCTATTTCTCCCTATAAATTCGGCACAAAATTCAAATTTTACTATAAAGATTTCTAATTTATTATTGACGCAATCGAGAATAGTTTAAGATCATAACTGTAACAAACACTTGAAAAAAAATATTATTTTTAATATCTAGAATAGATATCTATACAGATTAGTGTGTTAAAATGTTCTTTTAATTATTTTATCTGTACACCTTGCTAAGTTAGTATTATTCATGTTGTTTAATACATAAAAAAAATAAAAAAAACACATTTTAACACTCTAATATAATGGATGTGCAGTAAAGACACTCATTTTGGGTGTTAAAATATTTATTTTATTTTACTTTAGTATTTATGTACTTCCTACAATATAAATAAAGTGTGTGCTATGATATTTTAAAATTTTTATATAAATACGGTATTTAAAAAATTATATTAATAAAAAAATACATCAAATTTTAGTAAATATATATTATTATATATAATTTATTATTAAATAAAATTATTATTTAAAGTATTATTAATTGAAAATTTTTATTGCTGAGTTACCTTGAAAATTCCACAGAATATACCTACAAACAATCTTGCTTGGATGTTAATACAGCATTGTTGCTCGAAGAGGAATAACAAATTTGACGCAGAGGTGAAGCAGAAGCAATGGTATCATGGTGTCAGCGTCTCCCTACAGTGGAGTTCCTCATCCAATCTGCTCAAGTAAAGTAAACTAACCACTTCCTTTCTCTCATTCTCAATTCTCTTCTCATTTTGTTTATTCTGTGTAATGCAGCACTTCCAAGTTGCGCCTATTGTTAAATACTCTGCGCTATCCTTGTTCGCCGATCGCTTTTTTCCTTCTTTACCTGCGTAATCTTCCACTTCTCTCTCTCTCTCTCTCGTTGCTTTTTTCTCTTCTGTTCTGTTAATGATTCACTGTGTTGGATCCTCGTTCTACTAAGCTTCGTAAAAGGTGGAAATTCTACGAGCTGGCTATTGCGACCTCTCACACAAAGCGCATTGCACCTGTTTGCGCTCATTTCTCTTTGGATTTCGAGCAAAGTGAGTTCTCAAATTTTCACCCTTGCGTTTCTTATCTTGATCCAATGTGTTGACACGTGCAATGCAGATACATGATTCTCAACCGCTTTCCGTTGCATGTTTCAAGTCCTTGGCGGACACTTCCATTAACGAACAGCACTTCACAACTCGAAATTTCCTCGATGCAGTAAGCGATCCAATTGTGCTTTTTGTGATGATCAAGAACCTTTTCCTTCTGCTTTTTTTGTCTCAATTTTTAGGTACTTTATCTGCTGCAGGAAGTGCTCTTCATGGAGGTATAAGTCAAGGTTGAGGATATGAATATCATTCAACTATAGGAATTAAGAACTGAGCTGGTACTGATATTTCCTCAGGTGTTGAATTTTGAGATTGGCACAGCAGACATTGCTTTTTTGTTCCTTGAAGAGCTTTGGATTCAGATCAAGTGAGTGTGACTCATTTTAAATCCAATTTTTTGTTTGAACAACTGAAAATTGACACCGTATATGTATTTCTATTTCTCACTTTTTATATGTACGCATCCCAAAAATTACGCCTCAAAAGTAAAGGAGACAACTAAAAATTGTCCTCCGAAGTTGTTCAAAAAACATTATTCTATTTCTATCTCCGTATGTTAAGGTTGTTTCTTGTTTTGTATCTACTTGCTGATTCCATGCTTCGAAATGGTGGAGTTCAGGGGAGTGGCAAAAGTTGGTGAACTGATTAGCTTTGAAGCTTGCATGGAAATTATGGATCTTCTCTATGAAAAAGAGGAGACATTATTTGTTTTTAGGTCTCCTTACTCCCTTGCTGCATCAATTTTGGTACATTTCTTCTTAGTTATTTCAAATTCTAGGTAATAATATCTCATATAAACTGCTTTTATTTTTGGAAAGCTGTAATATTCTTTTGCAGGTTGTGTCATATGTAATGACAGTCCCCAAACAGAAATGGGAGTTTCCAGTTCTTGCATGGGGTAAGAAAGTGCACCTTGGTTCTAATAAAGATTTGCAAGTTTAATTTTATATGAACTTACTATTACGCTATGAACTTCATGTACTGAGAAACTAAGAAAAGGATTTTGTCGTCAGTAAATTTTGTGACCTCTTGTAAGGAAGAAGAGATCATAAAAATGGTTACAGAGATTCTCAAGCATGTGCTTGAACCTTCTTGAGATTGAGGTAAGTGAACTTTAAGAGTGAGAATCATTTTGGTGTTTAGAATCTGGATTGTCTTGAACTTTGTTATTTAAAAGTAATCAAGTGCTCAATCTCAGTGTCTATTAGTGTACTGTGTAATTATTGCAACTTGCTGAATTTGATTTTGAAGATTGATTGTCTGTTAAAGTTTACATAGTATCCAATGAAAAAACCTTATGAAGTTGATTAAGTCCCTGCATACCCAGCCTCTTCCTTTGCATTATGTTATTATTGTATACAATACAACATACTTAATATTCTTTTAATAGGTTCTATTTCTCTTTTTTCTTTTTTTCCTTTTTCTTTCTTTGCTTTTTGGATATCTGAGGGATGTTCCTTTTAAATTAAAGTATAATGCTAAAAGACGAGGCAAGTGATTGTATAGTGCATTGAAAATAGGGATTCTTATTCTAATTCCTATTGTTTGCTTTATTTATCCTAATTATTTACTTGTGGTTGTAGAATGATATAGTCTTGAATGAATTGTTACATCTTAATCCTGGATCATATTCTTGGTTTGGTTGTATTTTGGGTAACTGATCTAATTCTTCCGCCTGAATGGAGTCTTAGTAGATGGCTGCAAAAGAAATTAGACCTTCAGTATTGTAAACGAGAGAGGATAAATATGTAGCCATTCAGGACATTGTATTTCATGTGACCAGCTATTTGTTTTTATGACTTGCAGGTTCAGGTTCTATCTTCCTTGAGAATCTCCCTCATTGTTTCATCCGTTACCTAAACAGGAAGCACCAAGACACATCATACTACCACCACATAACATTTATTCTGTTTCAATTCACAAAAAATGAAACCACTTTTCCAGTAGTTCGCTTAAGCTGTCCTGTGTTTGGACGCCCCAAAAAAAAGTGCTGTTCTATGATAGGGACAGCTCCCATTTAATAGATGGACTGAAAGAGATCTTGAGAAAGAATTTGATGATACAAGTGTGGGAAAAATTTGATGATACTGCATTAATTCTGTTTTCCATAAAAATACAAAAGAAATAGGATTGTAAATGCCTGTTTCCTTTATTGCAGCTAGAAAATGTAGTTTGACTCGACCAAGATAACCGAATATATCCATGAATAGTTTCCTTGATGCCCAACATACTCTCTAACATAGAGGAATAGTTGCAGACATGAACTACATAAAGAATAATAGGAAAGGAAAACTATAGAAAACGCAACAATGACCAAATATAACATGCTTTAAATTTAAGAATGATCGACCGAAGAACCATTTAAGCCTTCCGCAAAATGAAGGAAACAGAATTATAACTAATTAGCACAAGTGAGTTTTCTAGAGCCCAGGTGTCACGGTGAAGCAAGATATAGCTAATGTTCCAGTAGTACAAGACGTGAATATGCTGGTCACCAAATGCAGGTAGTGTAGCAATGCGCCCCTTGGACTAAAAGAAAGATATACAAGTTGATAATATATATATATATATATATATATATATATATATATATATATATATATATATAATGAAAGTTACGGGAATAAGTGACTCATAAATAAATTAACAAAATGATATGCAGGTTTTACAAATTTGAATATTTAAAGTTTAATTCTTATTAAATTTTGAGATAAAGAATATTAATATTTTAAATATTTAAAATAGATTTTTCTTTATTATAATTTTTTTTAAGATTAAGACAGAACATAATTGTTTATTCACATGAAATCATATCATATTCTCTCAAACTCATTCTTATCTTTGTCTTAAAAGACAGTCAAGATTTTGTTGTGTTTCCAATGTAAAGTTCAATGATTAATTAAAGGACTATGGTTGAATTCTATTTGATAAAAGTTTGAAAAAAGAAATGTAAGGTAAAAGATTTAATAAAGTCACGTAACTCTCTTTTGGAATATTATTGTATAAACTTTGTTCAATTTTTCTTTCTTCTATTTTAATTCCTTCTTATTTTTTCCCAAACTCGTTTCTCACATTTACCCTAAATTTACATAACCATTTTTTCCTTTGGATTGTTATACTTTCAAATGTAAGGGTTTCCTATTTGAAAACATCATATACACATCCCAATTATCTTAAAAATTATCATTGTGGTTTGATCAGAATAGGGGTATTGACTAAAAATATTTTGTTGAACCAGAAAAAAACGCAAAGAATTCACTTTGTAATTTTTGCTTAAACCAAAGATGAATCTAAATTTTTCATCAAAATTGCTTAAGCTAACACGAATTCGCTTAAGCAAATCAAAGACAGAGATGAATCTAAATTTTTTGTCAAAATTAGCTTAAGTCACAGCCCATTTGTTTAAGCAAATCAAAGACATATATAAATCTAACACACATTCGCTCAAGCAAAAGATGAATCTAATTTTTTTGTCAAAATTAGCTTAAGCCACAGCCTATTTGCTTAAACAAATCAAAGACATGTATGAATCTAATACACATTCGCTTAAGCTAATATTCATTGCTTAAGCCATTATTGTTCTGTACTTCACGGCTTAAGCAAGTTACTTCTAGTGTGTTGCAATAGGGCGGTCGCAACAGACAACAGTTCGGCGAAAAACGTGTTTAAGAAAAGTATCTTTCAAGAATAAAAATATTTTTTTTAAAATCAGAGGAGTCGCCACCAAAGTTTATTTTAAGAAAACCTTGAAAAAACTTAAAGATAATATGATCTTTGAAACCAAAAATGAGTTCAGGAGTCATTTACGTGTAGGAAAGGTATTAACACCTTATAACGTCCGTTTAAAAATAGTTATCTTAAATTTATTGTACAAATTCATCTTAATTTTAAAAATATTTATTTAACTCCTAAACAATAATTATTTTTTATTTTCATTTTAGAAGAAGAAAAATTATTTATTGAGATATTGTTTAGGTATCTTAACAAAGAGAAAATTTATTTTGAAAATTGTTTTGACTCGACGCGTTCGATTCCTGCTCCTATGTATCTCCTGATGCAATGGAGAACTCAAAGTCACATAGTTCTACCTAAAAGAATTTTGAAGTTGGTTGATTAAAATTGTGTTTAGTAAGAGAAATTTTATTTTGAAATTAAAGTTATTTTCATAAAATTATAATGTTTAGGATACAAGATAACGCATATATACATGTACCCTACGAGAAACAATACAGAAGGTGAAGGAATATCACACAACTATATTGCAAATCGTTAAAAATATTTTATTTGTAAACAAAGTATTATATAATAAAAACGAAGAAATAAAACTATGTAATTAATTATTAGTTATTAAAGCTAGAAATGTGACTTAAGAAAATTTAAAATATAAAATTAATTTCATTTAATGAAAGGAATAAATATATTTAAATTGATTAAAGAAAATAGCTACTTAATAAAAAGATTATAACTCTATTTGATAAATTTATATTGCGTAAGACCTAAAGTAACGTTAGTACACAAAAGTCTTAACAATTTAAAGTGTATAAAGATAGAGATGCTACACAATAATACTATAAATTGCCACATTAATTAGATAAAAATATTATAGATGATGGATATATTTTAACTAAATAAAATAGATGAGTTGTTATTTTTTATAATAAAAGAAATAGTTTTAATTAGGTGATATATTTTAATTGAAAAAAATAATCATAAAATTGATTAATTTAATAAGTTAGATTTAATTTTTATATAAATTGATAATTTATAAAACCTAAAATAACGTTGGTACACATAGGTCTCAATGATTCACAATACATAATGGTAGATATGCTACACATTAATATTTTAAATCATTATTTTATGTATTTATTTATCATGTAATTATAAAATAAATTTATTTGTGAATCACAAAAATAAAATAAAATATCTACGTCTAACTTTATACAATTATTAAATAAAAAAATTAAAAAAATACAAACCTTACTACCACCTAATATTAATATATATATATATATATATATATATATATGTGTGTGTATGTGTGTGTATTATAATAGAGATAATAATAAATTGACTTACATAAGATTAACAAATGAAAACATAAAGATAACAACAATGAAAAAATAAAAATAAATATTTTATTATTATTTATTAAATTTTTATAGAAAAAGATTGAATTTAACAAAACAGAATAATAATAACATATAACTAACGTTCTACTGATTTTTGGATATTTATATTTTGAAATTAAAATATGAATTTTAATTTTAATAATAATATAAAGTATATATATATATATATCAAAGAGTTGACAGACTAACAATGAATCGTTGGCCAGCTGTAGAGAAAAGACTTAGTACAGTAATAAAAAATTTGACAAAAGTGCATTGAATAAAAGTTTGGTAAAAGCTAGTATATAATGTTATAATTGTAATATACATACTGTGACTGCAAAAAAAAAATGGAAATTGAAAGTATTATAAATAAGAACCAAAAGTCATATCATTATGCTACAGTAGTCAAATCACGTCAAAAGTAAATAAAGATTCTACCATTTATCGTTTCTTACGTTGTTACATATCATATTCAAGTTTTTTACATGATATTAAGTAAGTTCCATGACATCAGGAAGGCATTGTTAAATAAACAAGATATAATTCTCTCTAACTAAGGATACAAGGAGCGAAGATTCATCGTACCTGAAGAACCCTTCAACACAAGTAAAGATGACAGTAAGATGATCAATCTTCGTATATTAGAAGCTCTTTCTTTTTTTTTTCTTTTTTTTACTCTTATTTCTAAATGTATTTTTTTTTGCTTCCTCCTCGAAAAGAAATTTCTTCTCTTTTTAATTATTCTCTTTCCAGCTTTTGTTATGAAAGATTCACCTTTTTTTTTAGATCTCTCTAAAATTTCTCTTTTTTAAAAAATTTGTTATTAATGTTAGATTATTTTAATAATCTTGTTATAGTGGCCTATGTAACTTATAGCATGACTCTAATTAATGATTTAATGTGATGGTGGTTAAATATAAAATATAGAGTCATTGAGGTATAATTGTAAATACAATTATAAGGAAACCCTCCCCTCTCCCTT